GATATACATAAGTATATATATATATACAGAGAGAGAAAGAGAGAGAGGGGGAAGATAAAGAGAACGGTGCAGAGAGAGCGAAATGCACACACACACACACACATAAAGGGAGCGAGAGGAAGAGAAAACAAGACGCAGAGAGAGAAGAGTGGTGGAAAGAGAGTGAAAGTCGCAGTGAAAGTGGCGCGTAGAGAGATAAAGAGGCGCGTGAAGAGGCAACGAGTGGCAAACAGAAAGAAAGAGAAAGAGAGTGAGTGAGAGAAAGAGAGAAATTGAGAGAGAGAGAGAGACAGACAGACTGACAGACAGAAAACTGAGGCCGAGAGAGAGAGAGAGAGAGAGAGAGAGAGAGAGAGAGAGAGAGAGAGTAAAGAAAACAAGGAAGAAGACCGATAAAAATATATCTAAATTTATATGCATTTGGAATCACAGATTTTACAAGAATCTAATGACAAATCTTGTAAAGGCAGTTGTTGTCACCCACCACAGTGCGATAGCGAGGTCGTTCCGCAAACTAAGTCTCAAGTGTAATAAGTTTGATTCTCAGCACTTAGAATCAAAGACAAAGCATGACATAAGTTTTTTTTAAGGTGTAACCATCACTTATACGAAGTTAGATGTTAAAAAAAACCTGCTCACTTGTCGCGGTACTTTCAATAGCTCTAACCCATTCTGTTAACTGCAATAAGGATACATACTGCCTGGGAAGACATTTACCCTCCCTGGAGCTAAGCTATTGTTATACACTTAGCCACAAATGACCAGTGTTTTGCCAGGGCGAGGTAAAATATAAGCAAAAATTTATATATATATATATATATATATATATATGTAAGCAAATATATGGATATAGATCCGACAGTATGAAGAAAAATATACAGAAAAAACAAACAAAAATCTTAATCTGCAATTATGCTGTATTAATGTTAATATAAAGTCAACGTCGGACGTTTCTATTTTAGACCATCTTCAGGACATTTCATTTAAACATAATTAACGTTGACTTTATATTAACATTAATACAGCATAATTGCATATTAAGATTTTTGTTTGTTTTTTCTGTATATTTTTCTTCATATATATATATATAATTAAGTGAATGTCTATAACATGACAGCAAGATAACTACAAGATTAATTCACGAGTGTTGTGAGTTCGATATTCACTTGGTGTCCTATATTAAACTAGCTTTAAACAAAAGTCGAACCAGGTTAATGGATTTTGGGACATTTCAACCTCTGTTGGGTTATTTAATGTAGATTTAAAAAAAAATTATATTTGAACCTATAGATAAACTTTGGGTTGATACTTGACTTCATAGGTAAAAACGGATTGAGTTTACAGGTAAACAATGGTCGAGTTTATATTTGAATGTATAGGTAAACATTGGGTTAATACTCGAGTATTTAAGTAAACATTGCGCGAGTTTATGCTTGAGACTATAGATAAATATTGCTTATGTTTATACTTGAGACTATGATTAAGCATTAGTTGAGTTTATACATGATGCTATGAGTAAACATTGTTCGGGTTTGTACTTGAAGCTATGAGCAAACATTGATCGCATTTATATTTGAGACTATGAGCAAACATTGGTCGGGTTTGTACTTGAGGCTACGAGTAAAAACTGGTCGCTTTTATACTTGAGGCTAGGAATGAACGTTGGCTGGGTTAATACTTGATACTACAGATAAACATTGGGCGGAATGCAACCGCTTTGTTAGGAGTCTATACCGATGCAGGGGATGCACTGGACAATAAAACACATCAACCCCAAAACAAGCGATTATCAATAAGGATATGTATTATAGTGATTTATCAAGCATGGCTTAGAATGGGCACTACGATGGAGCCGCCCAGTGAGGATCGAATTCATTACTAGGCTTGTTAACTATTACACCACATTGAAGTACCCAAGGATATTTGTTATCAGCTGAAAATGATGCGATATTATGCTTATACAGAATGGCTAAAAGTTTCCTTTTTCTCAGCCTGTGAAGGTTCATTTTGATGGGTGCATGTCTTCCCCAGATCCTTGTATGGGGTAATGGGCCAATAATATCTAAATGTATAGTACAAGCAGTAGACCATTAATATTCATTGCATGGACGAATATTCGATTTTTTTATTCGGTCGAGCTAGCTGGGTTTATCATGCTAGCCATCATGGTCCTGCATCATGGTCAGAAGGTCATTAGGGTGGTATTCTGTGTCATAACATAGCTGGTAATACTTACGTGACGTGCTTTTACCGATTGAACCACAGAGGGACGTTTCGGTTAGCAAGATCGATTTTACAGGCTTTATGGCGGTCCCGTATAGGATACAGGTTCGATTCCTGTTGGAGGACGCATATTTTCTATGACAATTTCTCGGACATTCAGGACGGTTAATGTTAATACTGTTTATTATAAACAGAGCATTTACTTAAATATTTGTATCTATAAAAAGAACGCATAAACATAAAATAATGTCTTAAAAATAATTGTCGGACTTTGTCCATTTCATAAAGTGTTTATGATAAACAGAGCATTTACTTAAATATTTGTATCTATAAAAATAACGTAATATATATATATATATATATATATATATATATATATATATATATATATATATATATATATATATGTGTGTGTGTGTGTATGAAAAATGAATATAAATAAATATATATATGTATAATTATTTATATATTATATACATGGTACTTATATATATATATATATATATATATATATATACACTGAACTGAATGTTTATTTTATTTTACATCCTTTTCAGTAAAAATCATTTCACTTCATAGGTATGTGAAATATTCAACAGTTTTTGTTGCTTATCCGATTGAATAAGTACATTTATATTATTATATTACATTTATATCATTATATTTTATTATTACGATTGAATATGTACATTTATAAGTCGAACGGCAGTTCGACTTATTAATGTACTTATTCAATCGTATATTTATAGTTTATCTTATTTTATTTATATTTTATTTTATATTTATATTTTATATGTTAGTTTATTTTATAAATGCCTTTATTAATTAGCATTAGAGTAAGGCTAACTTTTGGATTACCCAGCATTAATATGTTTCCTGATAATTTTATCAAAATTTGTTGGTTTAACACACATTTCATTATAAAAATATTCACTTGCATCCTAAAATTGAACATGGTGCAAAAATATATGTGAAGCATTTAAGATTGATAGTAGTAAAATAAATAGACGTTTACTACAGTATGGCTTATTCAATCCCCACAGAGTCCTCTACAATTGTGTCCTTGTGTCTGACTTAGTAAATGAAGAAATATCTCTCTCAGTTTTTTATTATTATTTTCCAAAAGGCAAGGCTGTCTTCAAGCTCGGCTGCGTTAGAACAATGTTTAGATCAAGTGTTACAGTAATGGTCCGATTAGAAAAATAGTAACAACAGATCTTAATACAAAAGAGAAAAGACTACACCAAACACTTATTTCTTATTTCTATATTCCTCGACTTCTATTTCTCTCTCTCTCTCTCTCTCTCTCTCTCTCTATATATATATATATATATATGAAGAAATATACTCTTAAAGTGTGCTATATTTATGGGATAAAGTGCTCAATATCAGAGATAGAGCGTGTGTAAATATAAAAGTGAACATTGAAGTCAACACTTAGAGGCGACAGTCTGTTTCATGAGAGACGCAATCGTCGGGCCACGAGTGTTGTTTTTTTTTCTTGGCTATTTATATATACGGATCAGTGGTGCATTGTGGGTAGTCTATTTTGGGGGTTATTTTGTCGGAAGTCCACTGACCCGTATATATAAAAATCCGAGAAAAAAACAATACTCGTGGCCTGACGATTGCGTCTAGCATGAAACAGCCTGTCGTCTTTAAGTGTTGACTTCAGTGTTCACTTATACACACACACACACACATATATATATATATATATATATATATATATATATATATATATATATATATATATATATGGATACTCGTTTTTGAGTAGACGCTCCTTTTATTTATTAAACAGTATATTTATTTATTTTCGCCTATCGGTCTGAATGTTCGAGAAATCTTATTAAGCAAAAGTTTATGCTCTCAGGCCGGATATAAAATATACTGTTTAATAAATAAACGGGGCGTCTATTCAAATACGAGTAACCACTAAAAATAACTTTTAAAGGAATAAAAACCTGTCGGATTAATAAAACGATCGATTACTTTCTCTAAAATTCGCGTAGACTGATAGATAGATAGATAGATAGATAGATAGATAGATAGATAGATAAGAACAGGCTAAGATGGATGTGAATAGACTGTGATAGATATGCACAAAGAAAGAGAGATGAGCAGATTTAGATAGATAGATAGGTTGAGAGAGAAGGAGAGAGAGAGAGAGAGAGAGAGAAAGAGAGCAAATCAAAGAAAATGGCAATCGTCAGGAAACGAAGAGAAATTTGAAAGCAATGAAAAGCCATTGCCAGGGATGGCGGGAAAATGGACAAGCACGCAAATCAATGGCGGGAAATGCACAGCTTTTCAGACTGAACAAAATCGAACGCTGTCTTCTTTTCGTCCTTCCTTCCACTTCTTTCCCCCTCTTTGGCTACTTAATGACTTTCCTATAAGTCCCCAATTCCTATAAAATACGGATAGCGAGGGAAGATGGCGGGAAGTAATCGGAAGATGTGTGGAGAAGTCCAGGGTTAAACACTTGCCAGGAAAAATCACCGAAGCTGTCACCTAGTTTATCGAATCAACTTCATTAGACTGAGCCGATAGCCTCCGTCTTCTTTGGAGACGGGGGCTCTGGTGTGGTGTAGATTTTATGGACGAGTCACCACGCTCTTTCAACGACTTCCCCCTTCCCGGTACTGACCGGTGAGGCGTCTTGCCTCACCGGTCAGTACCGCTTTTACGATTAACAGACATCTTCGTTTTCTCACACTTGCTTTCATTGCCTAAATTCTCTTCGTTCTCATTTTTCCTTTTTCTTTTTTCACATGTGCATTCTCCCTTTCTTTCTTTCTTTCTTTCTTTCTTTCTTTCTTTCTTTCTTTCTTTCTTTCTTTCTTTCTTCTCGTTTTCTTCGTCTTTACTTTCTTCTTGCCTTCCTATTAATCTCTTTTTTCTACCTTTCCTTTTCTTTTTTCCGTCATCTTTCTTTCTTTCTTTCTTTCTTTCTTTCTTTCTTTCTTTCTTTCTTCTCGTCTTCTTCGTCTTTACTTTCTTCTTGCCTTCCTATTAATCTCTTTTTTCTACCTTTCCTTTTCTTTTTTTCCGTCATCTTTCTTTTTCTTTCTTTTTTCTTTCTTTCTTTCTTTCTTTCTTTCTTTCTTTCTTTCTTTCTTTCTTCTCGTCTTCTTCGTCTTTACTTTCTTCTTGCCTTCCTATTAATCTCTTTTTTCTACCTTTCCTTTTCTTTTTTCCGTCATCTTTCTTTCTTTCTTTCTTTCTTTCTTCTCGTCTTCTTCGTCTTTACTTTCTTCTTGCCTTCCTATTAATCTCTTTTTTCTATCTTTCCTTTTCTTTTTTCCGTCATCTTTCTTTCTTTCTTTCTTTCTTTCTTTCTTTCTTTCTTTCTTTCTTTCTGAATTATCCTTAGTATATAAAACCACAACCGGAGAAAACATACCACTGACCTAAGCGTGAGTGCTTGGTCGAGGAGGTTCGTTAGAAATCTACGTTTTTTTTATTATTATTAAGGTTCACTCTATATAAGGCTCAAGAGCCACTCAAGGTAGAGTCTTACTGGAGTCGGTTTGCTGTGTTGAGCGGTAAGAGAAGGACAACTCTGATTTTCAACCGCCTACTGTCTTGCGGCCATACCCAATCACGGGAAAGTCTTCAGCAGTAAACCCTGAGGACAAATCCGGAGTTAGAGTCTCTAAGACAGTCAACGGAAATTCAATTTCCAAGTAGGTGTCTGGAGCAGGACAATTCACTTCATGGCTTGAAAGAACTCTTTAGTCTTGGTTGGCAGTCTTTCTAGAGAGGGTGACCCGACAAAAACACCCGGATGTGGGGTTGGCGTGTCACATTTTGTATCAGCTACCGAAAGAAACTATAGTTCCGACCAACCATAGGGAAGGCTGATGATGGCGAAGGGATGTCATTTACGCCGATATGTGTGAAAGATATCGGTTAAACCTAGACTTGAAGGGGTTAAGAATGTAGGGGTTGGAAAAGCGTCCGACTAGCATTCTGTTTTCCGAAGCAATAGCTATCGGAGTAGAACTTCTTCCTTACTAACGGAATACGAAGGGAATGAGGCGTGGCGGGTCTTTGCTGGGGGTGGGTGAGACTTAGGGGGACTAAAGAATGTAGTACGCCTGAACATTTTCGATGGAAATAGCAACAGAGTCGCGAGAGCTGTGGGAAAGGGGTTTTAAAGTGGAAAATAGTTCATCACCCACATGGCTGCGTAGACGCTTTTGGACTACATGAAGGCTAGAAATTGAAGACCATTACTTTTTTTTAAGGCAATTCACCCCAAGCAAGGCGGGAGTGCCACTAGCACGCAAGGGGTTACAGAGGATTGAGAACAAGAGTAAAGAGGCATGTTTGGGGAAAGGATACAGAGAAGGACGGGGAACTACCCAGGGAGTCAGATGTCGATTGACATAACACTTGAATATTTGAAGATAATAGTCATCGGGGAAGCGAGTAAAGGGAAGAGAGTTCTATAGACGAGAAGTGCGGAAGAAGAAGCTGTTTGAGAAGAAGGTTACATTTAACTGTTTTGACAGCGAAAAGGTGAGACCTAGATGCCAACCTAGTAGCACGTTTAAATTTATGAAGTCCGGGAACCAGTAAAAGTATCTCGTCGGATCAGTTGTCGTGAAAATACTTGTAGAAGAGCCAGAGGGAGGCCATAGCACGTCTGTGGGATAGCGATTGTAGACTGGATGCTAGATTAGGACCTATCACCTTGCATGTTCGTCTCTGGATTTTGTCAAGGACCTCTCGACGTACAGCGGGAGCAGCAGACCATATATGACAGCAAACTTAGATGGGTGACCGCTTGAGGAGACCAGATACTATGTTGATGTGCAGGTGGTGTAATGTATAACGCCTCGAAATTGGAAATCGGAGATCCGAGTTCTAATTCCAATCCGGTTCGTCATATCCACTTACGCGCAAATACCCTTGGGAAAGATACGGATCTATCTTTTCTTCTCACAGTTATGGGTTTCCCTGTATCAGTAAATCGTTATTATATTCCGAATATTCTTACAGTCCTAAAATATTTTCTAGCTTTAAACAACCTGCAAAAGGTCGATAAGCCGTAAAAAACATAAAGAAAGGAAAATTGAAATGTAAATGAAAGGGTAAATGGATTATTGCAAGGTCCCAGCCTTTTCTAAGTGTATAAAAAATTCAGGAATCGATGTCATGATATTTATGGAAACCACTTAGCGCCTAAACCATTTTTTCTTTGAGCAATGGATAACGCTAATCCTTCGTTTATTTCTGCTCCTAGCACCGATCAAAGTTCGATGGGGTTAGGTGGAGAGAAATATAGGAAGATTATCGCGCCAATTTTCCAAGTCTTCAAAACGTAGATTTTTAGTCGGGATTGAAGACCAACCGCTGGCGCCATAGATTGGTTGTTGTTAATAGGGCACTAATGGTGGATAGGTAGAGGGCCATCCATTGATGAACGAACTCATTAATGGTCTGCTAATCACTGCTCCACGGCAACAAATAGATTGGACTTAATTTTTTGCTATGGCGTATTAGAAGAAGACTCTAAATGAATGGCGGAAAAGATTAGCGTTTTACTTGTTTTTTGTTAATGGTTGAACCGAGAACAGATGCATAAAAAGATAAGAATAAAAAGGCAAAAAAATAAAAAGAATAGATAAATAAATGTCTCTAAAAAACACTTTCGCCACAAATTAACCAAGTCCAATTTGCAGTCGACAGAGATAGCGTTTTGACCAACTACATTTCATTTCATTTGCAAAGAATGTCCTCTGTATCAACATGGCCTTGAAAAAAAAAAAAAAAAGCAGATAAATGAATCAAAATTAAAAAAAAATAAAGCGAGATATCCCCATGAAACAAATTCTTGGATAAGATTAAAGACACACAAAAAAAGAGACAAAAAAACGGTAAAAAAGAATAAGAACGTTGAATGAAAAAAATAAAGCGAAAAAAATGGCGGAGCCGAACAAAAATGGCTGGAATTGTTTTTTTTTTTTTTTTTTTTTTCATTTCTAGGTTTCGGGTCAGATTTGAAGACGTAAAAAAATTAAAAAATAAATAAAGGGAATAATCGAAACGAGGCTTCTTTGGCATAAACAAATGAAGGAAATAACAAGAAATCTACCATTTTATATATAAAAAAATGGCGGAAAAATCCCAAAAAAGTCAACCTTCCAATAGTAGAAGAAAATTAAATAAAAAGAATAAAGACTTTCAAGCATTAATGAAAAGAGAAAAACAGGCAAATTAATTAATTTTTGTTGGATTTTTTTTTTAAATTTGCGTCTCGGCGTCCCTGCTTGTGCGCGCGTCTGTGGGTATGGAGATGAACACGAAAGTGAGATTGTGTGGGAACATCTGTGCAGGGAAGAAAGAAAGAAAGAAAGAAAGAAAGAAAGAAAGAAAGAAAGAAAAAGAAAAAGAGAGAAAGAAAGAAAGGAAGAACGAATGAATAGACTTAAACGCTTTCAATAACGGTACTATATATAAATGTGCTCTTGCCCACGCTCGGACACATTGGATTTCTCGAATATTCAGGTCGGTAGTCGAAAATAAATATACAGTTAAATAAATAAACGGAACGTCTACTCAAATATGGGTATCCAGTAAAAAGAAAGTTTAAAGTGATAAAATCTGTCGACTCAAATAAAAAAAAAAATTTCTTCTTCAAAAAATATATCTCGCCTGAACTTTTGTTTACAATTTATTTACTTTTTTTCCTCAATAGGAGAGAGGTTCGGATATCACTTGGTCTTTTGAACAGGATTAAAGGCTTGTCTCTTGTTTAGGATTGGGTTTCCTTGTCTTTCCCTTCCGGTGGACCCTTGCGTCTTGGTGGCATTATCACCTTGATTGGGGTGATGCCTCTTACTCCGTAACACACTATCTCGAGTGGTTCTTGAGCCGTGTATAGTGTGAATATCATTGTAATATATACAGTGGTGGGGAAACAAATATTCGTACACATACACATTTTAATTTATTATATTGCCAACTAATGAATATACTTTTCATATAATAAACTGTACACAGATGAATAATAACTAAATATGCATAGAAAATAGAAAAAAAATGATTTAATAGAAATAAATCCCATTTATCCATTGTAATGGGTGTAAAAAGTATTCGTACATTGCAAATTTCAGATTTTAAAATTTTTAAATGGCTTTAATACTCTAGATTATTCAAGTGGAATATTCTAGAATGTTTCAGTAATGTTATCAATAGTTATTTTCAGCCAAAAATAGAAACAGAATATTCTGTAATTGATATTCGTGCAAGAAGGTTATCATCATGGCAAAAGGTAAAAAATAGACAAATTCGCAAAAAGAACTGATTGTTAAGCTCTGGAAAGAAGGTAAAATTTACAGGAAAATCTCAGACAAACCAGATATTCCATTTACTAGCATTAGTTTATTCATTGCAAGGCATAAAAAAAACTCAAAACTGTTGAAAACCAAAGAACAGGTGCTCCATGGAAGATTTCTTCAAGATCTTTGAGGAAATTAATGTGTCAAATTAAACAAAATCCAATGGTTACTCATCAAGTAACTATGTCAGTAAACAGACAATAAACAATGAAATTCATAGGAACAATCTAAAGTCACGCTCTTCTCGGGGAAACTCCACTGCTATTGAGAAGACACAGAGATGCCAGGTTGAAGTTCATTCGTGAACATAAAGATAAGGACCAATCATATTGGGTAAGAGTATTATGGACAGACAAAACCAAAATTGAGTTGTTTGGATGAAATTATAGAAATCATGTATGGAGAAAAGATAGCGATGCCTTCAAACAAAAGAACACAATTCCAACAGGGAAATTTGGTGGTGGCAGCAGCATCATGGTTTGGGAGATGCTTTTCTGCAAAAAGGTACTGCTAACATATCAGTAATAGATAGTAGAATGAATGCCATAGCATATCAAAATATTTTAGAAGCAAATTTAATGATTTCGGTTGAAACACTTGAACTTCCTCCTGATTAGATCTTCCAACAAGATAATGATCCTAAGCATACTGCAAAATCTATGAAGAAATGGCTTGCTGAAAATAATGTAAACATCCTGAGATGACCAAGTGAGTCCACAGATTTAAACCCAATCGAGAATCTGTGGCATTATTTGAAAATTCAAATTCAATCGAGGTCTCCAACAAACATCCCGTATCTGAAGATCATATGCGAAGAAGAATGGAACAAAATACCAACAAAATTTGCAAATCATTAATTGAGAACTACAAAAAGAGGTTGGTTGTTGTAGAAGTGAATAATGGCTATTCTACAAAGTATTAAA